TGTTTATTGGGCCATCAGAGGGTCTGATTTTGCTCTTGGTTGTGGTGAAAGTGGTGGTGCTGTGGGTTGTTGAAGTGATAAGGCTCATGGCGATAGTGGCCATGACAGATGACAGGATGCTCGATGCCTTCACTCTGCAGCTCATCCTTCCTGTGAACTCCTTGTAGCTTGACCACCAGCTCCTTGATGAAGGTCTGAGGGTGAAACAGAAACCCAGTCCGTTAAGAGATCTTTCACACTTAACAGCACAACCTAAATCTAATCATTTCTGTCTATAATACACAAGATCTAGTATTTAAAAAGTATTCCATGACTCTGCCCACAAAACAAACAAAAAACTAAACAAAAATAGAATTTGAATCATAAATCGATTGACAGTGGGGTTAATCCTACCCACAGCACTCAGGCTTACTGCAGTTTACTTTGGTCTTTTTTTGTTTAAAATAAAAGATGACAGTAATAGCACCTCCTTATGGCTCACTGACTGAAGCAACACTGGACAATAGTAGAATTTAATATAACTAGAAAGTAAAATGAAGTTACAATGAGCTCAATATAATTACACGTATGTACTGTGTAACAACTGCAACCTCTTCAGGAACTCAGTTATGCCTTTGCCAGTTGTAGCCCTGATTAGATACGCGAGATTGGTAATACATTAAAGATGGGAACTTTTTTAATCAGATATTTAGGGTTTGTTTTTTTTATAGATTTTATTTATAGGAGACCATAGTTGTGTCGGTTGCAACATACTTTATATGTGGAACCATCTGGAAGCATCTGAATCTACTATTACAACCCTGCAGCCCTTATCAGAGAATCAAAAAAAACAAACAGCTTCTTATTTGATAACAATTAATTGTTGTGAGGCACGAAGCAGAACCAAATGTAGCGTTTAATCATTTTTCCACACATTCTTGTTCAAGAGTATTCAGTGTTCATATGTCCATAGATGGAAGAATGTCTCGAAGAGCACCAGAGTCCCGGGAGAATGACCTCAAGGCTGCGACGAGGGAGGTCCCCCCCCCCCTCCATGTTGTGATGTGGTGTAAATGTCCTCATGAGTAACTACTTAATCTGGAGTTAGATAAAAGTTTAAATGGTCAAAGTAAGGTCTAGTCCATGTGTATAGAGGTTTAAACACAGAGTCATCATCTTTTTCTTAAAAAAAAGAAAAAAAAGAAAAAAAAATGGGGAATACATGTCATCACAGCAGATATCTTTCTGAAAGTGCTACAGCTACTGTTATGTTCTTCAATGTCATACACCAGGGGTAGGGGAACTCCAGGCCTCAAGGCCCAGTGTCCTGCAGGTTTTAGATGTGTCCTTGATCGAAAACAGCTGATTTAAATGGCTACATGACCTCCTCAACATGTCTTGAAGTTCTCCAGAGGCCTGCTAATGACTATGTCATTAGATTCAGGTGTGTTGGCCCAGGGCGATATCTAAAACCTGCAGGACACCGACACTTGAGGCCTGGAGTTCCCCCACCCCTGCCATACACCAACACAATACAGAGCAGCTACAGGAACTACCAACATAGAAGTCGATTATGTTGTTAATAATCTTATCTCTTCACTGCACACGACTCTGGATACTGTAGCTCATCTAAAAAAAGAAAGCTTCAAACCAGAGGTACTTGACTCACCAGTATAATTCTTAAATGCGAACCTTAAAGCAGACAACTTGTAAGCTGGAGAGGAAATGGTGCCTCAGTAATTTAGAAGATCATCATTTAACCTTGAAAAATAAATTGTTGCTATATTTTTTTAAGTCCTCTGTAAAGCTAGAGCCACTTATTATTCATCACTGACTGATGAAAGTAAGAACAATACCAGGTTTCTTTTCAGCACCGTAGCCAGGCTGACAAAAACTCAAAGCTCTGTTGAGTAAAGCCTGAGAAAGTCAACTTCAGTAATAATTTTCTCCAAGCCATCAACGTGTCTTTTAGACCCCGTTTCTACAAACCTGCATAAAGAAGTGCTGCCATTAATTAATGTTTCAATCTCTAATAACCAGCTATGTACCACAGGTCTTCAACCTGGCAGTAGTTAAACTGTTACCAGCAGTCTTCACTAATTATAGGCTAATCGCCAGCCTTCCTTTCATATCAAACATCCTTGAAAGAGTAGTTGTCAAACAGCTAACAGATCATCTGCAGAGG